TATAGTTGACATGTGCTAAGGATATTTATAATAGGCTTAGCTGTAAAGAAGGGGAGGTATAGAGATAACATTGTATAGTTGACAATGTGCTAGGGATATTTATAATAGGCTTAGCTGTAAAGAAGGGGAGGTATAGAGATAACATGGTATAGTTGACAATGTGCTAGGGATATTTATAATAGGCTTAGCTGTAAAGAAGGGGAAGGATAGAGATAACACTGTATAGTTGACAATGTGCTAGGGATATTTATAATAGGCTTAGCTGTAAATACGTTGTGTTATTGTTTAGAGTGAGGCGTTCAGACACTTGGCCTAGTGGTTCTCCACATTTAAACCTTTTGACCTCTCAAGCAAAGACAGTCGATTCAATAATTATTTCTATTATTTCAAAGTAAAATGATGTAAGAAAAAAAATAGAAATTGGCAATAATTACGGAGATGTGTAACAATGTAAGGATGTAAAACAATGAAGTGCATTATGGCAACTAAAACAATTAATTATTACTCCCATAGAAATTGGCAATAATTACGGAGATGTGTAACAATGTAAGGATGTAAAACAATGAAGTGTGTTATAGCAACTAAAACAATTAATTATTACTCCCATAGAAATTGGCAATAATTACGGAGATGTGTAACAATGAAAGGATGTAAAACAATGAAGTGTGTTATAGCAACTAAAACAATTAATTATTACTCCCATAGAAATTGGCAATAATTACGGAGATGTGTAACAATGTAAGGGTGTAAAACAATTAATTATTACACCCAAGAGCAGCTTACAAACTTACAAGATAGTTCATCCTTTACTACGTGTAATCATCATTATTATCATCATTTCCATAAATGACTCTTATCACTGAAATGGGAAATGATGATTAGAAAAATAAAAAAGGTTCTCTTGCTTTAAGAAATATTGTAAGTTTTGGTAGTTCATAAAACGTTGAAAAAGAGGAAATCGAACAACTGATGAAACTGGTTCAAAATTAACAAAACAGGGGTAGTTTCGTATAATAACTTTCAGAAACTTGGCCTAGTGGTTAACGTGTCGGGCTGCAAATCGAAAAGTCCATGGTTGAGAAACGATATGCTGCTGCACACGCTCCGCACGTTCACCTTATAATATAACCGTGGCAATAATTCCACCTATTTGGTTAAGAGTACTGTTGACCGGTTACTAGTCCTCTGGTCAGCAGCTAGAATTGGCTATGGGTGGGTTAAGAGTACTGTTGACCGGTTACTAGTCCTCTGGTCAGCAGCTAGGGTTGGCTATGCCTGGGTTAAGAGTACTGTTGACCGATTACTAGTCCTCTGGTCAGCAGCTAGAATTGGCTATGGCTGGGTTAAGAGTGCTGTTGACCGGTTACTAGCCCTCTGGTCAGCAGCTAGGGCTGGCTATGCCTGGGTTAAGAGTACTGTTGACCGGTTACTAGTCACGATATTAAACAAACTTTTTACTTAGTGAGTAGAAACATTCTATAAAACAACAGGAATTAGACATATTAAACAAAGAACTCACATCTCGTGCTTTCTCGGCCTCCACGTGACTGAAGAAGCTTGACCATCGGTATGCTGTTGGTCATTACAGCGATGTCGAGTGGTGTAAAGCCATCTCCATTGACACTATTCAAATAACATTTCAATAAAATTAATCAAACAAATGTAAACAAAGAATAAAAAAAAATTAATTACACCAAAATTTAAACCGCTATTTTCACTACCAGCGGTCACGTGTGTCATACATGTATAGGTTACACATTTCATCGAATGCACGTGATGATTTCGTGCAGGCCACCGACACTAAAGAGGAGTTAACTGGTCCAAGTGCATGTCTCTAAATCGTCATATACCAACAGTAAGAAACTGTATACTTAATTAACAGATGAAAATCCACATACTAGGCTTACCACACATATACAAACATTAGATAAGACATACTTTCACACGTCGTTTTAAAGAAGACTCCAGTTGTATTTACATCTACTGGAAAGTACAGAAAATAAGTTCGTGTCTTACATATTAAACAGGGAATAGACTGTTGAAGATTTCGAAAACAACTGATACAACAAGCTTCATTTGCTAACTAGCAGGTTTAAACTTATTGTGTGATGTTGTGGGGAAGTGGTCTTACAGGCTAAAATAAAAGACTCGGAACAGATGTACCCACAATACTTAGTTCTGGTGGATGATCTATGAAAGATCCGATATCTCAAGGCAGCCGTAGCTTAGGTTAAGCATTAAATGTTGAGGTTCAAAAGTATATTAAGGTATTATTCTAACTATACCTTGCTTACGTATACGAAACCATTGTACATATGCATATTTTATCCAGCATTGTTTAAATATATGAAACCTACTGTTTTATATATATGTTCCAACCATGCTTTCCTCACGTATACCAAACCATGGTTTATATGATTAACATATATGGTTTATATGTTAAACTACTACTACGGAACTAAGAGAACAGAAATATTTCATATCAACAACTGAAAACATCAGACTCTTTGATTCAAGTACAACCAGAAAAACCTAATCTGGCGAAATATTTTAGGGTTAGGTTTCACTTGTTATGTAATACTTACATATACTTGTGTTGCTTTCTCACTTTCATACTTGAAACATCTCACCTAACTAAGTTCATTTCTTATGGGGCATCACGTAAAGAACGAACAGGACCACACTATCGCACGAACAGAACCACGCACGAACAGGACCACACTATCGCACGAACAGGACAACACTATCGCACGAACAGAACCACACTATCGCACGAACAGGACCACACTATTGCACGAACAGGACAACACTATCGCACGAACAGAACCACACTATCGCACGAACAGAACCACACTATCGCACGAACAGGACCTCACTATCGCGCGAACAGGACCACACTATCGCACGAACAGAACCACACTATCGCACGAACAGGACCACATTATCGCACGTTGCTTGACAACACTATCGCACGAACAGAACCACACTATCGCGCGAACTGGACCACACTATCGCACGAACAGGACCACATTATCGCACGTTGCTTCCCTTCCTGCTAGTTTCAAAAACCCAGTTTTCGTTGTAGCATTAGAGCGGCGGAACTTCAACAATGTATGTATCTCACGATATACGTCACGTAGAACAATACATGATTTAAAATTCAACAAGGTCACCGCCAGCTAAGTACGCGTACATGGTATCCAGTGTAGCTCCCTCAAATAAATTAATCCTTATATATATATATACCAGACTTTTCTCCTATTGATAACTAAACACATAACCACATAAACACACCTACGCCACATATTCGATACTTACCTGGTTTTTAGATACACCATTAGTCATACAAGTCTAAAAATTTACTACAAAACATTGGTGTAATTTAAACAGTTGTACGGTATGGGGAAATACGGTCATAGTCCACCCCCGTGAACAGGTACTCACGTGACTTCCTGTAAAACTAAAGAATCCAACCACTACACTTCCGTTGTCGTTATTTAAAAAAAACAATAAACGTTGTATGAGGAGAAATTAAAAATACAGTTGCAACGCTCTATGGTTATTAACTAGTGCAATGATCCGATTTCACAAAACCAAATAGTTTAAATATGACGATCAAAAATGTTTTTAATTAACCGCCAGAGTTCCTTGCGATTTAGAATAAAACCATTTTCCCGTTTGTTTGTTTGAAGTTAAGCACAAAGCTACACAATGGGCTAGGGTTGGCTATGCCTGGGTTAAGAGTACTGTTGATTGGTTGCTAGCCCTCTGGTCAGCAGCTAGGGTTGGCTATGCCTGGGTTAAGAGTACTGTTGATTGGTTACTAGCCCTCTGGTCAGCAGCTAGGGTTGGCTATCCTATAGGGTTCACTATCCTATATACACCCTTGAAGACGACAACTGCATGGTTGCCTCAAGGTTGTCAGCAATGACTAGGGTTCAAACGAAAGAAGATACAACAACAAAAGCCAATAATCCTCCCTCTTCCATCTAATCAATTATTGGTTGGTTGATTGTTGCTAAGCTCATAGTCACACATTGTACTATTTTTTGTTCTGCCCATAACGGGTATCGAAACCCGATTTTTAGCGTCGTAAACCCGCAGACTTATCGCTGAGCCACCGTTGGAGGGGTGGGGGGTGGGGGGTGGTTCATCTAATCAATACATAATCAGTAATAAATCTCCCGCACTAACAGCTACATTGGGGTGGGGGTGGACACCTCTAGAAGTTGAAAATATTTAATTAAATAATCGATTTAATCAGAGTGATAACTTGTTGCCATACTACACATTTCTTTGTCCTCCACGTGTTTCCTCTTCTGGTATAATCCTTTCTACAAATATGAGTAGCTTCACTTTGGAAAGGCACATTTTTTTTGTTTATAAATACAAGCGTATCAATACCTTAGTGTGGAATGAGGAATACAGAGAGAAGCTCCTCTCTTCCCGCACCTAACTTGATATGTAGTAAACGATTTATTAATAGCATCTCTTCCTAGGAGGAATACAGAGAGAAGCTCCTCTCTTCCCGCACCTAACTTGATATGTAGTAAACGATTTATTAATAGCACTTCTAGAGAAGCCACCAATGTATATGATAATTAGGTTTAGAATGTGTCACTCTTCTTGAGAAGACACCGTGTGTGTAGTAATTAGGATTAGAATGTGTCACTCTTCTTGAAAAGACACCGTGTGTGTAGTAATTAGGATTAGAATGTGTCACTCTTCTTGAGAAGACACCGTGTGTGTAGTAATTAGGTTTAGTGTGTGTGACAGTTCTTCAGAAGTTACCATGTGGGTAATAATTAGGTTTAGAGTGTGTAACACTTCCTGAGAAGTCACCATGTGTGTAGTAATTAGGTTTAGAATGTGTCACTCTTCTTGAGAAGACACCGTGTGTGTAGTAATTAGGTTTAGTGTGTGTGACAGTTCTTCAGAAGTCACCATGTCGGTAATAATTAGGTTTAGAGTGTGTGACACTTCCTGAGAAGACACAATGTGTGTAGTAATTAGGTTTAGAATGTGTCACTCTTCTTGAGAAGACACCATGTGTGTAGTAATTAGGTTTAGTGTGTGTGACAGTTCTTCAGAAGTCACCATGTGGGTAATAATTAGGTTTAGAGTGTGTGACACTTCCTGAGAAGACACAATGTGTGTAGTAATTAGGTTTAGAATGTGTCACTCTTCTTGAGAAGACACCATGTGTGTAGTAATTAGGTTTAGTGTGTGTGACACTTCCTGAGAAGTCACCATGTGTGTAGTAATTAGGTTTAGAATGTGTCACTCTTCTTGAGAAGACACCATGTGTGTAGTAATTAGGTTTAGT